TCCAAAGCAAATACACAAGTAAGTAAACTTTGTATATTTGCACAACTTGGTATACATGGTAACAAAAACAGTATGGTCCATGTTGATCTTTGCAGCAGTCAGTCAGCTCCGAGCTATGCAACATCCTTCACGCAAAAGCGTGGCATACTGCGCGCAGTCATACAGGATGCATTGCGTGAGTTGAATTGTATGTATTTCCGATATGCGGCTAGAGATTTACTCGATATGGGCACTGCAGGCAAAGTCACCGGAGATCCAAATGCGCGGATGCGCTGGACCTCGCAATCATATATCAATCACGTGTGGAACAAGTATTGGGTTGCCTTACAGGGATGGAATCCACATGTCCCGTTCAAGAATCCCAGCAATCTTCCTGGTGGTACCCGAGTCTTCGACAACTTGATCTTCCGGTGCGAGCGTGGGATCATACGATTTGTCAAGATACCCGAGCACGAGCGCTGCAACATCGACATGACAAAGGTTGTGCCTGGCGGAATTGTTGCCCGCAAACCATGGCCCGGTCGCCCGGATATCAAGCATGCCCGGCATCGTCCGGTATCAAATCCGCACAATCTTCCCTTACGCAGACAGCGACCAGGCCCGATCACACCGGAGTATGTGTGGGAAAATGCTGATGCCGAGATAAGAGATGATGGCACACTCGAGGACGACGAGATAGTAGAGACATGGGACGAAGAATGTGCACAGGTAAACATTGACGACGAGGACCCAATTGAGGACTGGCCGTAGAACTACATGTTGCAAATGTCTGTCTAGCCTACTGTATGGAGTTGCTCTCGCCATATTCTAATGGAGCATGTCCCGAAAGATTTTGATGCAGACCAAAATAGCACTCACCATGGCTACCACACCTCAACAGGCACAACAGCAGTGCGAGCAGATGTCAACCAATGGGTATTTCTGGCAAACCCTCATGCACCGCCATGGCCTTTGCACCCCCCGGTGGACGTCCTGCCGGACAACGAGCAGCGACCACATCATGGCCCTGCCACCGCCGCATGAGCTTGCACGGCCCATCGCCCCATGCTTGCCCAGCCCAGGGACCGCGTCGCACACGTGCGATGATCCCGGGGTCTGCAACTATGCATACGTGCACGATGCGGCGCCCGCTCAGGCCCCGGCGCACCGCGCATTTTCCAACCCTGGCACCCCGTTCTCCCCGCAGTTTAGAACATCAACCAACATCTCGCAGTACGACCTTGTCAGCGCGCGCAACGGCAATGGCAACGGCAGATCGAGCAGCGGCGGCAGCAGAAGCGGCAGGGACGCGCTCCCGGGCCTGTGGCAGATGATTGGCGTGTTGTGGCCGCAGTCGAGAGGTCGCGCGTGCGCGAGAGAGAGCGGGAGCGGGCTGCGCGGGAGCAGGACGTACGTTCCGCCACAGACCTTTGAGTGTTGCGCTGTTCTGACGTTGGTTGTTCTGCATGCATCCAAAGCGGCAGCAGCAGGCGATGGCACCCCGGGGGCTGGCCATGGCCATAGACGACCCACCGGCGCAGGCACCAGAGCTTGTCAGGCGCAAGCGAGAGCGGGAGTCTCCTTTGGAGCGTCAACGCAGATCGGGTGCGGGGACGCCGCTGGAATGTTGTTCAAGAAGCGCTTCCGGACCCGCCAGTCGGGGAGCAGCGGCGGCATCCCCGACATCATGGTGGAGTCGCCAGTGAGTTCCATCCCGTATCGCTATCCCTACACACTGACCCGCTGACCCGTCTGCCTGCAATGCACCACAGAACACCACCACAGTTTCCCGGGCCTCGACGATTGCCGCCGCCAACCAGCCGCATCTATTGAGCCCAGAGATGCATCAGCCGTCCCTGCCGCTGCCCGCTGACGCCGCAAATTTCGCTGTCTCCGACTCTGATCAGTGGCCGCTACTCCCGCTGCCAGAGTTCTACCTGACCACGCCCAGCGCTGTTGGCATCGCCAACGAGGATGAGCGGCAGCTCCCCGCCGGGTTCGTGCCCATGAGCACCGCCGACACCCCACACGACTTCGGCGCGCCGAAAGCGAAGGGGCCCAGATACAGCTACGAGGTCGCGCCAATACCCCCTGGCGTGGTCTATCCCGATCCGCCTGGGAGGAGAAGCGCCACACCTGGGCGGAGGAGCGCTACGCCGCACGCCGCCGCAGGGGTGTCGCTCCCACCGTCGCCATCCAGCACGCCGAGCCCCCGCGGCCGGCGCGGCAGCCTAAGCGGCCATTTTTCGCCCCTGTCGCTCCCGCTCGCGTTTGTGGCATCTCCTTTCGCCCGCGCGCCGAGTGATTAGAGGCGAGCGCGCACGTTGGGGCCCCTTAGCTGGTGCGCGACAATTGGGAACAGTGTGCTACTCGACAGCGGAGCTGAGTAGGTAAACTGTACTTTATACTTGAGTGTGGCGCACTGACCGGGCAGGGGCAGGACGGGGGATTTGAGGATGTTGCGGCGGCCGGTAAAGGATGCCAAGGTAGGGTTTGCGGAGCGCATTGTCTCGTCGCGCTGTTTCTAATGACCTGGTGCGCCATGGTCAAAGCGGGTGGGCAGTGCGGACACACGCGGTCGAACGCACATGGTCGGGCAAGAAAAACGCGATCGGCAGGCGCAGATGACTTGAGTTAATGGCGCGCCGTCGACGTGCACTTATGCCCGCCGCCCTGGTCGTCGCTCTTGCTCCAGGCATGCCCCTGCGCGTGCGCGTGCCCGGGCGCGACGGGTACCTACTGCACGTGCAAGTCTCCGCCCATGCCGCCGGCCGTGTCGGGCCCCTGCGTCGTGCGGTCTGTGGGTGCGGGTCCATTCACCTGGCCGAGCCGCGCAAAGGCTACGGAGCGCGGCCAGTACAATGGCGGTGCGAGTGAACATAATGGCGGC